GGCTTAGGGTTTAGGGTTTTGGGAGTTAGGGTTTTAGGGTTTAGGGGTTAGGGTTTAGGGGTTTAGGGTTTAGGGTTTAGGCTCCAGTGCATCTTGACTCATTGCGGCCGTATGACCGCCAGGGCTTCTGCGTTGGGGCGAGGGTTGGCGGATTGGGCGTGCGCTGTGTTTGTTGCTCCATCCGCCCATAAACTGACCAACATGAGGTTGTAGGGGGCCCTGAAATGTATTTGTGAATAGGTACCTCTAAAAGAACCGTAGAGAAATGTTAAAGAGAAAAAAGGCCGGCAGAAGCCTTGAGGGATCTAGCAGAGTGTACTGTAGGACTGCGCAGCTTCATCCATTTTCGACTTCTGGACCTGAAAAGACTCAAGTCAACCAGGGTTTAGGGTTATAGGGTTATAGGGTTTAGGGTTTAGGGCTTAGGGATTAATTGAAGTTTTTTTCGGAATGCTGGGTTTGCGAAACAGCTCGCATGGAGATCACGGAACTGAACCGGAGAAGCTTCGGGCAGTGAACATCGGCGTTCAACAGCTGATCATCGGGGCTGGATAAAAATCGGTGCCGTAATACTTCCAATGGATTTCTGGGGCACAAAATAGTACTACATATAGTACTACTATCTGTGTATTTTTCATATATATATATATATATATATAGATCAGGACTATGAGTTAAGGGTGTCGTACTACTCGATGACTGACCCCTACAAGACCTAAACTCGGAACCCTAAACCCTAAACCCTAAACCTTAAACCCTAAACCCAAAGCCTTAAACCTTAAACCCTAAACCCTACTAAACCTTAAACCCTAAACCCCTCTAAGACCTGAACCTCGAAATGCACACTCGGGCCTGAAAAGCCGTTGGCTGAAAACCACGTGAAAGCACTCACACCACCACAACATCGAAGTTCGTGGGTTTAGGGCTTAGGGTTTGGGGTTCAGGGTCTGTAGGCTGGGCCCTCACTACCGCACAGGAATGCAAGTGTATCTTACCTTCTGGGTTTAGGGCTTTTGGCCTCTGAAGGAAGGCATTTGCATGCGTGCCTTCTTCAACTGCGATGAAATCACGACTTATACAAGCGGACATGCGTCGGAGTAGAGGGATGTCGCACATCAGAACACTGGGCGCCGCGCAGTCAGGGGGCAGTTCTGGCCGTGCCTGACCACTAACACTTGGCACATGTCTCGAGTTGCGAGGGTTTCCCCCGAAAGGACGGACCTTTCTACTCCTAAACTGAGATCCTGCATTGAAACACGTGGCCCCGCACCCCTCCCGTAGTAAAGCTCAGCCTCAGGTTAGCGTCAGGGCGGGGTTTTCAGGTTCAACTCTTAGGAGGAAGGAGGGAGTCCAAACGACCTATGTCAAAAACATACCAGTTATCACAAGCATACAACAACCCGTCGGATGCTCACTCTAATCGGCACAGACTACCTTCACCAGCGAGTTTCAGGAACTATAGCCATGCAGTTCGCCCATGATGTTCCTTGTGATTGTTCGCCGATGACTAAATTCCCACAACCCCACGAGTTCAAGTGCCGAAGAAGTATATGCTGTCGCCTTAATTTTTTCTAAGCCACAAGGACCACTGTCCTACACCCAAACGCATAATTGCCGGGGAACTTCGGACCGTCAGGGTTCCCCCTACCTAAATGACCACATCACCCTTACAAGGAGGGACCTAATGTAGGGGCCTTGATAATTAGAATGGGGTTTTGGGCGGGTTCCTTATTGTAAATATAGTATGATGTACTTGTACCCCCAAACCCTATTCTAATTATTAAGGCTCCTATATTATAGCCTTAGGCCGTGAGCTTCTATTGCATGTAATTCAACCTCAGGCCCTTCTAAGGTGTGTTGTGTACAGGTCGTCCCTCTCTGCAACCTAAACTCCTATTGACCCAAAGCCCTAAACCGTAAATCCCAACAAACAAAACCTGCCCTATTTTTGATCAAAATTCTAAAACCCTTAAACCCTTTTTCTAGATCCTAAACCCTAAACCCTACACCCAGAATCCAAATCCTAAACCCTAAACCTTGAATCCTAAATCCTAAACCCTGAACCCTAAACCCTAAACCCTCCTAGATGCCGCGTCACTCGGGCCTGGGACACTTTGGCTTTCAGGTCGGAGACCTTGTCTGTTGCATTGACCTCGACCTGTCCACAACTTCGGGAGTTATTGGGCTAAGGTTTTAAGTTTTAAGATTCGTTGAACTAGGGCTTATTGGGTTTTGGGTTTAGGGTATTACGATTCCTTGAACTAGGGTTTAGGGTTTAGGATTCTTTAGGCAGGGGTTTAGGGTTTAGGATTCTTTACGCAACTGTTTAGGGGTCTCGGGCTTTGGGTTTGGAATTCACATGTTACTGAATGCTTAGGTTTCATGAGCTGAGTTCTCATGCTGTGTGCTGGTTCAACATGCTTCTTTTGTCTTCAGCACGTGTTCTTACTGTAAGTTGTGGTTAATGCCTTGTGTTGGTTTAAGCTGCTTCTTTTGGCTTGAGCTCTTGGTAATCATCTGTTCCGAATCTCTGGATCGAGGGGGTTGCGGGCTTTGGATTTAGGACCTACAGAGGGTTTAAGGATTTATGGTCTGGTCTTTGGTCTTAGCAGGGTTGCTTCAGGATTGGGAATTCGGCTGCATGATTTGAGCTCTAGGGTTTCATGATCTATGTAGAGGAGGAAAGGAAGCTTGGCACGAGCTACACTCTGCCTGGGCTAGTCATGAACATGTTAGCCTCAGGTCGAAACTGACAGGCTCCTGTCGATATGTGTCATCCGGTAAGTAAGGACTAAATGACCATGGCCTTTGAATGGACTGTGTCCGTCGGGACTCGATAATGCCGTACATGCGATAAACCTCTGTGCGATCCTAGAAAGTTCGACATCCTAGCAGGCAGCTCGCTCCCAACCACTAGCCGCCATGGCGTTTGCAGAACTCCTCGATGAAGTTTGCAATGCCTTCCGAGGCAATGTTAAAGTAAAGCGATGGCTCGATCAGCTCTGCCTCCATGAGTGCATAGCCCGTCGGCTCTGAGTTCCCCTCGGCTACGGTGAAGTGGGTTGAAGAACCCTCACGTGCCAAAGGCTCCATGATGCTGTTTGGCAGGACGACCACGTCCATGCGGCTGTATAGAGGTGGCTGGTCGAGCGGCAATGCCTGAATGGCCCGAGATGCGCACTCGCACACACCGGTCGGAAGTGAGTCAATGTCCACTCTGTGGTGCACTGCGCCGTAGTCTTCTTGAGATCGATAGTCTCCTGCCTTGGGCAGCTTGTGCATCGCATGGCTAAGGGCCCCACAAAAGTAGAACAGGCTATACTCACCTTCCGACATGATCTCGGATACAAACGGCTGCACGAGACACGGGACGTCGGAGAACAGCTCATCGATGAATGCAGATTGGGTGGCGAACTCCTTCGTGACAAGCTGCGTCTCGCGCCCACGGAGCTCTACCACCGTCGGATCTTCTACAAAGATGTAGGGGGCCTCAAGCTCCCCACGTTTGATCCGGAATGTGTCGAAGCTGCTCGCGCCCACTGCCGGCTTGATGACCACCTCCTCGAAGGTCTCGAGGGCCCTGCCTACCGCCACTGAGGGGACATCGCCAGGCACAACGAAGGCAGTTGGTAAAATCCTGGGGCTCGTGTCAACTATGAAGGAACATCGTTCCAGCTCATGATAAGAAACCTCAAGTTGGCTTACTATAGAGATTGCAAAGGAATTCTCATGCAAGTTCCTGAGCAAGAACCAAGAATCGGACAGCCGTGGTTTGCCATCTCTTTTAGGTACAGCTTCGAACTGTTCCACTTCATCAGGGCGACACTGTTTTCCACAGCACACTTCGATGCAATGTGATCCAACGCGGCATGGAAAAGCGTCAGGTCATCCTGATAGTCCCAGGTACTCCTTACCACCACAATATCATACTGAGACCAATCGTGCTCACGAAACCGTCGCCACGGGATGCGTGGTGTTACAGCCCACCCACGGGCCTTAAAAGGCTCGACCAGCATGTCATCGTATATGCACCATCCTTCGGTGCTGTCCATGGACAGAAATCCAAGTCTCCCAGAGCTGCACATGACTTCAGAAGCAGCGGCCGCAGAAGTTTGCAAAGGGTTATTATCCCCGGGGGCACAATGGAGCCAACTATCAGGCGCGTGTAAACTGAATGGTTTAGTAACGTAGTTGCGTTAGGGTTTAGGCATTATGGTTTAGGGTTTAGGGTTTAGGCCTCAAACTCTGAAGCAAAGACCCCAAGGCCGAAAACAACAAGACCCACACCCTGAACCCAGAAAACACAGAACACCAACTCAACTCCTTAAGCGTAGGGCCCCGGCCCAGGCATCCTCCATCCTAACCGAAGCCTAAATCCCTAAACCGTAAAGCTCCAAACCCCAAAACCCCGAAGCCCCCGAAGCATCGAAACCTTAAAGCCCTGTAACATAAAGGGTCCGAAGCACTTATAGGAGAAAGCAGCAAAGTTTCTAATTATGCTTTATGAACGTATCCCCCTATAACAGTACTTAGGAACCCTAAACCCTAAACCCCTCAACCCCTAAACCCCTAAACCCTAAGCCCCTAAACTTTAAACCCCTTATCCCCTATACCCTAAACCGTTAGGACTGTTTGGGTAAGACCTAAGCCTCGCCTTACCCCCCAACACATGCCGTGGCCTGAAAAGTCTCCCCTTTCAGCCTCGCTCTCATCGGGAGTTGATTTAGGGTTTAGGGCTTTGGGTTTAGGGTTCAGGGTTTAGGTTCAGGGTATAGGGTTTGGGGTTTAGGGTTTAGGGTTCAGGGTATGGGGAGTTGATTTCTTTTTAAGGGCACTTCCCGTCTGGGTTTAGGGTGCAGACTCTACGGCTTAGGGTGATTGTGTCTATAGCGTTGGGGAGCTTCATTTTTGTAACCTTGCGTTTGGGTTCCCTTTAATACTGGGGCCGCAATGAGACTCGGTTTGTGGGGCATGAGATGGTATGGTTAGACTAATTTAACTAAATCTAGCTTTAAAGCGGGACAAGAGGGAAATAATCTCGCTAAATGTTCGATGCCCGATATTCAACACGAATTTTCTATGACACGGACTTCCCTCACATGAAATGCAAAAAACTAAGAAGTACTGAGGCGCAGCTCTCATGAAATGGCTGCCCCAAGGCTCACTATCCGGTCTGGCATGAGGGTTCTTGGTTTTAGGCCTTGGGATTATCTGCTTTGTGGTTTAGGGTTCATGTCCTTATGGGTTTAGAGTTTGGGTGGTTTGGAGCTCGGGGGTTTTAGGGGATTTATCGACTCCACTTTGGGTGTTTTGTGTCAATTAGGGTTTAGGGTTGAGGGGGAAGGTGTAACCTCGTGTCCAAGTAGTTTCGGGATGGTGCAGTCTGAAGTTAAACTCACGTCTTCAATCAAGCTGTGTGTCTTGTTGGCCATGTGTACGCGAGATGAGTCGGCAAAGCTGCCAGGGTGGCATCAGCTTTACGCCTTGCCCTAGTAGCTTGATTCAAGATTAAGGATTTCTTGGAAGGCCACAAACTCAAACCCGAACCCTGAAGCAGTGTACGGTATCGCTGCCGGGTGGCGTTTTCAACGTCACTTGGACCATCGCAGAGGGACTGCCTTAGGGTGGCAAGCTGCGTGCTTTCGGGCTAGGCGGGGCACTGACTTTGCAGCTCAAACTTTGTCGGATGGGTCAGAGGCTGACGGTGGCTCCGGCTTATGAGGATTTGTTGGGAAATCACGAAGTTCTGATGCAGGCATGGCTCATTGAAGGCTTCGTGGCGTCATATTTTGAATATTGGGTCGGCTTTAAATGGGCGCGAAAGCTCGAGTCTAACTGAGGCTTCCTATGTAGATTTCTACCTGTAATGTAGGGGCCTTCATCACTAGAAGAGGGTTTTGGGGGTTCCTTATTATAGTTATAGTATAATATACCCCAAACCCTATTCTAAATTATGAAGGCCCCTACCTAGACCCCCCCAACTACCCTCTAATATGCCCTAAATGCCCACAATCAAGGACCATAAGGGCTCTATTCAAGGGCCCTTGGGGGGTCCTGGTATATCAGCGACTCAAGCAAGAAGCGCCAAAGTCGACAGCCCTCAAACCCCAAGCCCCAAATGCTAGCAACCAAGGGTGAAGGAAGCTCGCAGAGGATCTAAACAAAGAGGCCTTAAGAATGATGCGGAACAGGGTTTGGGGGCATAGGTTTTATCCAGAGTTATGAACTGGGACAACATCGGAATACCATTCCTGAACATTCTCTTCCGATATCGATACTACGCCGAATCCCAGAAGCCCACGACTCCTCACGAGCCGAGCCAAGCTGCGGCGTTCTAGGCCCGCCGGCAGTCGGTCGTGGAGAGCACCGCCGCGCCGCGCTTGAGCCAGGGTATACGCTCCAGGGCCGGGGGTTCAGCTCGTCTTGTTCAGATGAGGGAAGCAACGTAGCTTTGGGGAAAAATAGGAATCTAGGGCATGCGTGCAGAGGACAACACTCAACGCTGGATGCCAAACACAGCTCCGCAGGACTTCAGATCATAAACTCGCATCCTTTGCTGTTGGATCGCAACACAACATCTTTCAGCGGTACACTGGGTGTAAGCTTTGTGCGGTTACAAGGGTTGAAAACCGGAGCTCAGACATTTCGTTCGTATTGGTATCTGTCTGAAACCCTTCAGTGGAGAACCTCAGGTTTGAAGCGTCCCAACCGAAAACCCCCCAAGAGGGTCCTAGGTACTGTTACGGGGTATACTCTCCAAAATATCTAATAGCAATTCCTGCTATATCCTATTATAGAAACCCTGCTTTATACTATAAATAAAAATGAATAAATAAATAAATAAATAAGTAAATAAATAAATAAATATATATATATATACATTTAGGACCCTTCGGGCCGGAACCTGGAACCTTTCTAGTCACCCCGTGTAGAAATCCTTCATAGAAACCCGTGGCACGGCATGGCAACAAACCCAAGCGATGTAGGCTCCACGCAGGACGTACCTCGGCTGGTATGCAGCAGCATTGAAGTTTCTATCGGGTTTTACGCTTGAGGGGTTTGCGGTTTAGGGCTTGGGGTTTAGGGTTTAGGGTTTAGGGTTTAGGGGGGTTTAGGGTTTAGGGTTTAGGGTTTAGGGTTTAGGGTTTAGGCTGGAGGGCTCGAGGGCTGTTGAAACGTAAGACTTATGGTTTCAATGGGGTAAGCGGGTTAGGGTTTAGGATGGTTTAGCACGTTTAGGCCTTAGACTATCAGGTCAAGGTGAGGTTCAGGCAAGTTTGCCTAAAGGACCATATTGGAACCCAGTCGGAAACCCTAAACCCTAAACCCTAAGCCCTAAACGCAAAGAAGTCTTCATCTTCATGGCCTCGAACACACTTGGATGGACGCAGGCATAACAAATCTAGGGAGCTTGGTATGTAAGACAGGATTATCTACCAGTTCAGCTTGTAGGGTCCTTAGGAATTGGAGTTTCTGTTTGAGGGTATATGGTGGCATTTCCCATTCAGGACAATGCAGGGATGTTTTCGGCACTAAGCGAGGACCATATAACCTGACCACCCGAGCGGCAAGCGGCACGGCTTAACCGCCTCCGCCTCCGCCGATGGCAGCTCGGTGCCCGGGCCCTTGTTGTGTGCTGCCAAATACGCCTTTGTAGCACGCTTAACCATGGCCTCTGCTGGCAAATCCTGACAAGGCATGTTTTTTGCCACGGCAGCCATCCCGGCAACGGCGGGCGTTGCTGCCACAGAGTCAGCGGCTTCGCGCGCTTGCCCGCGATCGCTTCGCACGGCCGTGTCTTCCGCTGGCTGAACACCGTCTGGCCATATATGCACCCACTTGCGCAGGCAATTGTGGTGCCGTGTGCAAGTGCTCTCGATACGGAATGGGCTCTGGAACTCTCTGCAAATTCGAAATGTCGCCGACACATGCTCCGAGATCGTGCGCAACAGAGAGGCTAGGTTGGTTCACAAGCTGGATACAAACCATAACGTGTAAACAAAACCAAAGAACCGATCGCTTTGTGGAGAAATGAGTGCTCACGGCCAGCACTAGCAAGAGTCATTCCTCCTTCACCTGACCTTACAAGCAAAAGCCCGCTACTCACCTAAGACCCCGAAACTGGAAGTAGAACGACCCAAGCCCATGTCAGACCCCAAAAACTGAAAACCAAAACGGATCTGCCACGACGCCGCCCCCTAAACCCTGAACCCCAAACCCTAAACCCTCTTACGTACGCCCAGACTTGAGAGCCGAAACCCGAAATAAAATGTCATAACCAGGACCCCCCAATGGCCCTTTAATAGAGCCCTTATGGTCCTTAATTGTGGGTATTAGGGCATATTAGAGGGTAGTTGGGGGGTCTAGGAAACCCGAATCGCCCATAAGCTCCTAAAGCCTTCGGGAAGGTTTAGGGTTTAGGGTTTAGGCTCCTAAAACCTTCGGGAGCCAAACCCGGGAGGTCCCGGAAGCTTGGAGTTCAGTGCTTGCGGCCAGGTGAACACCTTGATATAGTAATTCAGGGGCCTCAACGGTTGGAATGGGGTTTTGGGTTATATTAATACTATAACAACAATAATCTTAATGATAATAAATAACAATAGTAACAACAATAATAATAATAATCAGAATACTAATAGTAAGGAGCCCCCCCCACAATAGTATTGGTAATTATTTAGGCCTCTATAAGCCTCTATACTATACGGCTTAGGGTTTAGGGTTTAGGGGTTTGGGGGGTTTGGGGGTACATGGTTGAAGGTTTTAAGGGCGTCGGGTTTACGGCTTGATGGGTTTAGGCTCAGAGTGTCTGGGCCTTTCTGGAACTGCTTGTTTATACACGCCACAACAGTCCTTTCTGTTGGGTTTAGGGTTTTGGGGTTTAGGGTTCAGGGCTTAAGGCCGCAATGCCCGAAACATAAGATGCGAGGGCTACGAAGCGACTTCATCAGAATTGATACTGACATGGAGCCTGAAAGAAGGTGCCGTGATGGACAACTGTGCCGGAGAATCTGTGCAGCCAGCGACGAGGGTTCGCGTCAAATGCCCCAGCACCTATCCCGAAAGTCTCGAGCCTGAAATCGACGAACACAACCTCAACCTTAAGTGCCTAGTCGCGATCTCGGAAACGATGAACCTTTGCCCACATGGTTGGAGTACATATACAAACTCCAAATGTTAGAGGTTACCTACTGAGCTATTCAGAGGCTTTGCTGAAGCGGTCTGAGCGACTTGTCGAAGTCTGTCCTGCCCAGAACATGGGAGGGCACCTAGAAAAAAAAACAACTTTTCAGAGTCTTACCTATTGTCGGAGACGACCCATAAACAATGGTTTCAGGGTTGCTTCGGTGAGCTTCTTGAATTGGCTTGGGTTACTCATAAGTTGCGGTGTCTTTCCTTGTTTGGTTTTCGGGTTCACGGTCTAGGGGTTCAGGCGTATACTTTCGACATTTCTACACCTACAAGCAATCACCATGTGGGTAGTTCTCTAAATTGGGTCCCTTTTGGGTCCCCCAAATAGTACGGCACGGCACCCTTGTAAACAGGACCCTTAAAGGGACCCTAACTACCCAGGTGTTCTCTTCAAACCAGGGGCTAAGTTCAGTTCAGATCTTCATGGCTGCGGCTGTGGTTAAGTCTCAGCGCAGCCACCTATAGACCGGTGAAGGCTCACCTGTCGTCCACACCCGCTTGGGTGGTCGGATGGAGTTCGTCAAGAGCCGAATTATTCCAGATGTACTACTGTTAGGAAATTAACCACCCAAAACCAGAATAAGGATGGTCTGTTGGGATCTAGTTCCCTTTTGGTAGTATATGTGGACCCTCTGGGGGAGAGAAGCACGTAAACTCCTAAACCACGTGAAACTCTCCACCTCAAGACTCCAACTTCATCTCGCTAGGGCCCCGGCAATGACCTAATATGGGAGCCTACATAAGAACCAAGACTATTTTGTGGGCTTCTGGTCATGGTTATACTACAACAATGTCCCAAGACCCAATTTGATAAGGCCCCTATATCAAGATATATGACGTCTTCTGGTTTGCCCGAGTGCCTTGGGCTTCTAACTACATTTCAATCGCGAGACCTTCTGGAAAAATGTTCCCGGCCCAGAGTCCAAAACAGCCCCCGGACCCCCAAACCCTTTAACCAAAGTTAAGTAAAAGAAGATATGCCTTAAATCATAATAGGGACCCCATGTAAGAACTAAAGGTAAGAACTAGGGTGTATTCCTTAATTAATAGGGGGTTTTGGAGTGTCTGGGAGGTTCCATTTCTTGTGGATATCTCAGATCAGAAAATGCAGCCGCGTAGTTGCCCTGTAGAGAGAGCTCCTTGCATCTACGACGGCTAGGCTGAACCCTTAACCCGTAAACCCCTAAACCATGAACCCCTAAACCCTAAATCTAAGCCCTGATCTGAATCGTGGTGTGTGCTGGACCCTTTTCGAAGTCCCAATCACGCCCACTGCACAATCAGCCCCCCGGAACGCTAAACTTTTAGCAGCGCCTGTACACGATCCTCTCGTTCGAAACCACCATGTCCCAGTAGTTGCGGGACATACCTCTTCCATGCAGAAACTGCAGAGTTTAGGGCTTCCCGACTTGGGATTTATGGGTGCGAAGGTTTATGGCACCAGCCCGGGAAAAAAACGGGGCAAGACTTGCCTACACCACTTCAATCGATAGAACAGTGTTCCGAGTAAAACCCTAAACCCTAAAACCTAAACCCTAAAACCCTAATGGCAGGGAATATTTTTTTCAGACCTCTGTACTAACCACCTGAAGGGACTGAGGTCAGGGAAGACACCGTGCAGACCGCACATTCTGCTCTATAGAATTATCTGGGGGTTTCCGAAAAGAGGGAACCCTCAATATAGCACCCTAAATGGTAGGATCCTTATTACAAGGACCCCCAAAATAGGGTACCCCTTATTTTCGGAAACTCCTATCTGCACTGCGAAGCCTTCCAAGTCAACTCACGTAGTCCTGGCTAGGGTAAGGTTAGGGGTTTCAGGCGGTTTAGGGTTTCAGGCGGTTTAGGGTGGAGGCTCAGGCGGTTTGGGGTTTCAGGCGGTTTGGGGGTTCACGGTAGAAAGATAACGTGACTGCCAACAGGGACCTGCACAGACGTGTGATGATTGGCACCTTTTCCTTCGGTATAGCATACCTATAGTCTCCATTGTAGTTCCTTTTCGGGGATACCTTACAAAATCTTAATAATATGTAATTCGTTAAACCGAAGAAAAGAACTACAATGGAGACTATAGGTAGGCCGTCAGAGGCTCTGGATTGGAGTCGTTTGTTGAGCCCTCATCGAGGCGATTTCCCGCCATATGCTAGACTTAGCCTTGGGGGGCCGTCGGCTTAGAGTTCAGGCAGTTTAGGGCTGGGTGGAAGGACCTTCCTCTTGAACAGCCCCCATTTGGGTGAAAGGAAGAATGCCAGGTGCCGGGCATCGGAACCATCTCCTTCACCATCTTGCCGACAAGGCCAGCTGCTTGAGCACGGCCATGCTTTAGAATTTATTTAGGGTTTAGGGTTTAGGGTTTATATAGCTTCCTAGTTACCCTCATGATGCCGCTTGATCTGGCCGAGTTTGTTGTCATGTAATTGACTTCTGGGAAGGAGTCTTGGCTCGGTCTATTGAGGTGTATTCTAATCCTGTATATACACCCCTAAAACGAAAATCCCATGAGCACGTGCCTGTTGTTGGGTCGGTGAGTGCAAAAACAAGCTCGAAGAAAAGGGTGGCTTAAAGGTTTCACGGTGGCTTGTTTAAGGGTCTGGCTTTAGGATTGAGGGGTTGGGGATCAGGATTTGAGGCTCAGGCCCATACAATGGCCAACAGCATCTGCACTCTGGAAGCAGCTGTGGAGCCAAGAGGTGATCATTGGACTGATTCGGAGCGCATGCGCTTCGTCCATGTATCAATCTGACCAAAAGAGCCCGAAATTCGTGTCAACATCTCTATTTCTGCCGGTTTAGAGTCAGGCCCTTGTCTTTCGCGGCTGCGCATGCAGGCAGTCAAGGAAAGCCGTGCTCAGGTATTTCAAATTGCATGGCAGAATCTGTTGCACAGTTGATAGGAAGAAGGGCTCGTTGGTGACAAACCACCACTGCATTTGCGGACCAACGTAGCCTCCGCACCCTGAGGACCTATTGCCTGTGACGATAAATACAATTGCTGCAGTTGCAGCTCGCATCATGTGCGTAGAAGATCTGAAACTGTACATGCATTCTGCTCTCCTTGAACACCACAAACTCCATGTGATCCACTACGCCCCCATGTGCTCTGCATGCTCCAGTGACAGAGTCGTAGGGATTGCCGTCGCACTGGTCTGGTGCTTTGATCCAATGCTTCGTGTCTACAGTAGGGGCCGTTTCAACGAAGCTCTCTCCAAGCAGCACTCGTGCGACCAATATGCATCTCTCACCCTGTGCATGGCGACACTCCTTGCAGTTGTCTGAAGTGCACTCATTGCATGTGGTGTAGAAATCCGATTTTGAAGCATTCTGAGCGAAATACGTGCCTTTACCAAACATGGAGCCTGTCATATCTCCGCCACGCTGGGGATCGAAGCCCGTTCGCAGGATGCCTTCTGCCTTCCGGAAGCTCGTTCCATGATACAGCAGGTATTCGTTCATGTCCTTCCAATATGGCGGCACTTCGCATTTCATGGCTGTCATGCCATCGATCCTAGTGCAGTCACCACAATCGCCCCGAGAACATCTAGCACGTCGGGCTTGCTCGTACTCCTGTTGCTTGTCCGCATGAAACAACTCACAAATTCGAGTCACTGAAACTCGTGGTGCACAGCACCAGTACCCTGACCTGGAGGAAGCTCTATGTTTCACCATTGAGCCATGGAACATCTCCGTCAGAGCCTTATACTTCGGCTCATCCCTGGCCAAGTCTCTGGATATCACTGTGGCCTGCGGTGGGATAAGAGGTAGCTGCGATAGAAGCACTTGGTGATAGTGCTGTCGGCTGAGTGCCAAAAGTGTGTTCGCCATGTATGTCGCATCGCGCAGAGAGGTCAGTTCAGCTGAAATCGAATCTTTGGCTGCGTTGGTCTCATTGAACAAAGTGGTCATGCTTGCAAGCTCTCCCTGCACGGACTCCAGAATGCACGCATGTCTGGCCTTGGTTGCTTCGTGCGAAGCAATTCTGGACGCCAGCTCCCCCGTGAGTTTGGCTTTTTCGGCATCTGCTTCTGCAAGCACTTCGTTGAGCAACTCACCCGTGCTAGCTAGCTCCCTCTCAGCAGACTCCAGCCGCTGACGGTGCAACGTCTCAGATTCGCGCGATGCATTTCGCGTCACCAGCTCGCCTGTCAGTTGTTGCTTAGCAGCTTCTGCTTCTGACAGCAAGGCGGTCATTGTTTCAAGCTCCTTCTCCATGGACTCGAGCCTTTGCTTGTGCAGCATCTCTGCCTCTTCGTGCAAGGCAAGTCTTGATGCCAGCTCACCTGAAACCTTCTGATTGGCTGCTTCTGCCGCTTGCAGCATGGACGCCGTGTATGCAAGCTCTTGCTTCATGGACTCCATAGAACCCTTGTGCCGGGTTTCTGCTTCCTCGTGCATCACAATTCGGGATGCCAATTCTCCTGCAACCTGTCCTTTGGCCACTTTTGCCTCATTGAGTAAGGAAACCGTGTTTGCAAGCTCCTTCTGCATTGACTCTAGCCTCTGATTGTGCAAGGTCTCGGCTTCTTCGCTCAAAGCAATCCTGGAAGCGAGCTGGCTTCTCAAGGACTCCAGCTCTCGTTGCTGTCTAGCCACGGTGTCAGGATGTGCCACATCCACGACAGAAGTTCTTGGATCATTCTGAATGGAGGCCAACTGGCTCCCGTGCTGGCCGGGCGAGGCTACCAACACTTCTGCTTGGTCTGCTTGGATGACTGACTGCAGTTGCGCCTGTAGTGTCGCATCCTTGGGACAGTTTGAAGAAGGCTGACAGGAGGGCTCAGGCAGCAGCCACTGCAATAGGGGTGTTTGGCACTGATGTAGCAATTCCAAGCTTCGGAATCAAATTGGGGACTCATGTTGCTACAGCTTGGGACATCACAGAGACGTTTGAGAATCGCCGAGCCTTCAGCCACAGCATCTTCAGCTTCTTCACGTTGAGCCAGGATGCTGCAAACACCTGGCAATCTGATGCATGGAAGCAGGATGCGCAACGGTAGACTTGTCAGCATCATCTGATACGTGAAAACGACGACCATTGAGTAGGAAGAACAAGACGCGCTGTGCCTGTTGTCCTCCCCACGAGAAATCCCCGATGCCTGTCGACGCTATCGGATCAGCTGCAGCATGCGGGTCTCCATGTGCAAAAATGTGAGACCTAACAACTAAACCCCGGGAAGCTGTCAGAAATGATCGATGCATCTTCCGGCAGCTTTAACTTGTGTTGAACTTGTCCCGCTTCCAGCATTCAGATGCTACGGTGCATGCGAGTCTCGAGCATGCCGACTGATGTAGATGCCGAGCTTGCATGGGGCTGATGTGTGCCTTTGAGCCGAGACATGCTCAGACGGAAAGCTCAGCCGGATTGCTTTCGGGCTCTAGGAACTGCCAAACTGGAACGGTGCGAGTATCTAAACCGCATCGGCTTCAGCGCTTGTACTTCAGGGTTTATAACGCCAGAGCCCCACCAGAGCCCTAAATATCGCAACGGACCGAACGCCGGCAGCATCGAAAGGCTTTCTTACGAGTCCTGGGCGAGCACTGCGCCACGGAGCTGCTTCGCAGACCACCGGCGTGCCATGGGTTTAGGGTCTAGGGTTTACGGGTTTAGGGTTTATAGGGCTTTAGGGTTTAGGGGTTTAGGGGTTTAGGGTTTGTGAAACGATGAGACCATGCAGCCGTCTTTCCGCCTGCAGGTTGGAACACAGATGAGGGCTATTCCAGATCGCTCTGCCCCTATGGTTGTTGAACTTCCTTGTTCCTGTCTACCGCCCTAAAGTTAAAGGAAACTATGGGGAGTTTAGGGTATATAGGGCTTCTATAAGGCTTCTATAAGGTATATAGACCTTTTTTAAGGCTCCTACAACGGTAACTACCCACCTGAAAATGTCCTCGACTAAAGGACGAGAAGGCGATCTCAGAACATCCCCAAAGAATCCGGCCTTGAGCTACGATGTATAAGAGCAGGGACCTAACTGCCTCACAGCAGAATAGGCTGCAGCACAGCCTGACAAGAAGAACACCCTAATCCCTAAATATCCCTAAACTCCCTAAATCCCGAACCCCCTAAACCCTAAAGCCCTAAACCCTAATCCCCTAAACCCCTACCCTAAACCCTCAATCCCTAAACCCAAAA